CCGCCGACGCTGGACCCGGAGACCATTATGCCGAACGCGAGCGCACGGTGTCTCTTGAACCAGGTCCCCGCCGCGGCAATAGCTAATAGGTAGGCAGGAAGCATTAGCGGTGAGAATCCTGCATGCCGAGATAGGAGTGGAGGATTTTTATTTTTATTAAATTTTTTGTTTTTCGCGGCTCACTCACTGGGGTAGAACAAAAAGCTGGTCCCGATTCCGCTCACGACAGACTGGGCGAGGAAGAACTGGTAGTACTCTTTCGACAGCGAGACCATCATCATCCCAAACACGTGCAGGACGGATCCGAAGAGCAAGGGCCATCGTGGACCATAGCTGTCGGTCAGCTTTCCGGAGAATAGACCCTGAGGTAACATGAGCCGAGTGCGACGAAAAAAAAAGAAAAAAAAAAGACCAGCACAGCTTATTTATGAGTGAGTGAGACGGAACGAACAAACATACGCAGAAGAAAAGCATAAACGACTCCGTCGCCGGGATCCAGGCCACGGTGCTAGGCGAGTAGGCCGCCAATTGATGCGCCTGGTAGTAGTCCTGGAAGACGCCGATGCCTGGAAGTTCTTCCAATTAGCGAGACAGGTATCTTGGTGTTGCTTCGAAGGTTCAATACATGGATCGTACAATTCACCCAGCCAAAGCTCGAGAAGATGGTGCAGAACCCCCCCGCAATGCAGAACCACGCCTGGAAGCCGCCGTCCGGAAAGACGTCCGGGTCATCTTGTATCTTCTTCTCCGAAGGAGGTTCGGGGAGATCTTGGATCGCGGAAGCATCGATCTTCTGATTCTTTAGTTTGTCTGATTTCGGAGCGTCCAAGTCCTCGCGCGAAGTAGTAGCAGGAGTAGGCGTCTGGGAATTGATGTCCGTTTTTGACTCCATCGTGACAAAACGAAGGTGAGTTGGAGACAAGTTTCTTCGACCTGCATTTTTCGAACCCAAGAAAAAAAAAGGTTGACCTTCCCCCGAGGCCGGCCTTCTATATAAAGTAATAATTTGCAGTACGATAGGGCAGGTAGAGTAGGAGGTTATCGTTACAAAGCATGGGTCCATCCACACAGTACGACAGGGGTTGAGTGTTGCTTAGAGCTGCATTGCCTAAAGCGGTATCATCTTTCGTCGCAAAAAGTCTTGGCAAGGGGATACGACTAACAGTCGAGTCGGAAGTTACAACCTATAACATGTCTTCTCAGGTGGATCAGCAGCGAACGGCCGTAATGAAAAAAAAAAAAAAAAAAAGAGAAGACGTAGTAGGTAGGCAGGTAGATTATAAATCCGACGGTGCTATCTTCTTATCCTGACAAACCGCGGCACTTAACGGCTCGGCGATATCTGCGAACGCCATCATCGATAACCCCCAACGGGTGCCGGGCCCTTCCATCTCGTGTATCTTCTCTATCCACAACCTTTCCCGCTCGTGACCTGGATGCAGGCGAAAGAACTGTCGTGCGCTCCAAGTTGGATACGTTGCTGCGTGGCTGCCATATGTTCCCATCTCTACCCGGTGGAAGTATTCTAACGACCGACAAACATTATGCGCCATCTTTGCCCCCTCATTCTGGATATTTTCTATCAAATCACCCTTTTCCGAGGTTGATAATGATGCATCTCCGCTGGAAATATCCACTAGAATAACTTCGTTTGCGACGACGCTATCAACTTGAGCTAAGAGATCTCCAAGCGTGATATGGCGGCCTAGTCTTGCTCGGACAAGGCCGTGGATCTGGATGATGTTGCTGTGTAGCTGAGTGGCGACAGCCCAGCACATGACAACAGCAACAGCGACACTCAATGATTCGAACTCAAAGCAGCTTGGGAAAACTTTGTTCGATGATCCAACGTCAGCTGGATTTTCTGTATGGCTTGGTACCAACCAGGCACGAGAGGTTGGCGAAGCTCTCGCAAATGCGTCATTCCAGGCTTCAATAGATGTCACCATACCCAATAATAACCGTATGACCGTTCCTGACTCCCGAAAAAGACCCTTTGGGTCATCGATTGATTCAAGGGCGACTGCTTGTTCGAGAATCGCAGGAACATCTGCCACTATCCGATATACTTCGTCGAGAATACCCTCGAAACCAGATTCGGTTACAATTCGCCTCCACATATCGTTCCGAAGAATATCTGCCTCCCGCTTCGTCAGAGCTTCAAGAGTCTGCCCAATTATTAGTCGATGAAGAAGTGTAAGATGCAAGAGTTGTACTAACACAGACAATCCTCAGACGTGAGAATAAATGTTTCCATGTTGGTGTGCTTGTCATTTCCGGATTACGTAATCGCAAGATTTCTGCGATGCCTCGCGCGTGGACGCCCCAACCATTTTCCGCAGGACACAAAAAGAGCTACATATATCGGTGAGTATTTCTATTATCATTTTGAAATTGTGCATATGGATGATGCTTTAGATGGCAAATTTTATGTGGAAAATCTGAGATGTCTGAGGTGAGATGGTAAAGGTGATGATGCTCAGGATCCATACCTCACATGTCGATAATACTAAAATTGCAGCCAATGTTTCATCTTGAGACTGCTGTTCAAAGTCGTTTAGATCAGAGTGAAGGTGCTGTAAGGCAGCGTTGTATTGATCGAGACATTGGTAGAGTGAAGTGCTGCCTTGGCCGGTAATGTGCAGCTGGACAAGACAGAAGGCAAAGAGAGAAGTATCCAACGGTTTACTAGGTCTGACCAGGTCCGTGAGGCAATATGCCCAAGAGAAACTCCCCTCGTCGGCCTTCGACTTAGGCCCGCGCGACACATGGTTTTGGGGAAGGTATATAGCTTCCAACAGACTGGCAGCGTACTGTCGAAACTCGCGACCATTGCATCCGGATTCGGAGAATAAGCGACGGAGATTAGCCTCCGTCCGCAGATCAGCTGAATTGTCTTTCAACAGTCGCTCGCAGGCTGCGCGACACGACAAGACCGACGTTGCGGTGGCTGATAGACATGAGGGTGTCCTATTGACGAAGATGATGCCCCGTCCGTAGCCAGTGCAAGCGCGTTTGGACGTGATGCATTTCAGGCAAGCGGGTCGCCTAAGATCGCACTAGTCGAGCAATCCCGATTAGCGACGCGGAAGCTAGATAAGTTTGAAGGGGAAAAATGCCGCCGTCGTTTTTAGTTAAGTCAGAGTTCGCGTACCTTAATTCTTCTTTGCCTGCATGTCTTGCATGCCGGCGACTTGCCGGCGATACCAACCATATGTGCTTCGATAACCTTGGGAAAAGGTGTATGAGGTGAGCATGGTGATGGTACCAAAAGAACTGAAGATAAATGTTAGTTTATGCCTGTAGGTAGAAAATTAATCCGCCTGTGCCACTGCAAGGTGTGCTAACCTTAAGCGCATTAGTGCTGACGTTAGGCGCCTAGAGTTGGTTCCGTTTAGGGGACTCAGCTCACTATTTGCGCGAGCTTATTCTCTCAGCAGCTATGTATTTTCTTTGCTTTGCCATCATCTTCAACTTGCCATAGTAGCAAGTCGAGAGCCAAGGCCTAAATAATCATAAGCATTATTCATGTGATAACGGTAAATGGTGATCAGGAGAGAGAGGCGTACCTTTTTTTCTTCTATATATCGATTAATACTTTGAAAATTGATCCGCGAACGATCCCGTAGTATAGCTACAGCCCCTCCGTATCGACTAGACGTGGCCGCTATCATCGACAACAATCAACTACAGACCTTAAATTCTTAAACATCCTTTTCGAACTTCACCATATCAAGGGGTGTCCCTGTACATTAAATCACTTTACCATGCAATATGCAGCACCGAAGTACGCTTGACTGACAGGCAAGAGGTGAAGTCGCCGCTCAGAAGAGCCATTGGCAGTCTTTCAGACGCTGGAGTTCTGTAATGCGCAAGCTTGTGATCAGGTACTTTCCTCAAGATGGCTTTGCTGTACTAGGAGTTGAATCAATGGCTGTTGTTGCCGCTGTGTGAATAATAGGACCGCTGTCACAGTGGTATGTGGTACTGAAGTTGGTAGGCTTTTCAACCGGTTGGTGAGAAGGAACACTAGGTTGATAGAAGTACTCCATGGTGGCGATATATGTCTGATCGGGTCTGACCGGGTCTATCTTAGTGAGGTTTACGGTTTCTCGTTCTTTTTATTCGGAAGAAGGCGTGCTGTGCTATGTTGGTACCTCTAGGGGTGAGGTGAAAAGAGGTATGGGACGAAGATGGAAAATCGAATAATTAACGAAGTGCGTCGTTTAAGTGCTAGTTCCTCGATCGAAATGGTAATACTTGACCAATCTGCCCCATGTGATGCGTTATGTCACCACCTAGGTATGAGCGTTGGACAGACAAGGTCTATTCTTTCTGATAGAGGTCTACCAGAGCTGCGGAGTGTCCATTGCAATCGTGTGCTCTGTGAGGCTCTTTTCGTACAAATCCCACGTACGCAGGAAGCGTTTTAAGTAGTTATGTGCGTGTATTGAATTGCGTACCAAGTGAATCCACGCAACTGAATATCATAATTGAAAACCTATAGGTCCTAGGTAGATAGATACAATTGAGTACCGACATTGAAGCCAATTACACGTCATACCATATATCATCATGATAAGAAAGTACCGTGGAACAAAAACCATACATAAACGATGAATGGAAGTAGCTAGGATGATAGTGGTTATTCCAACTGCGGAAGTTATTTCCGAGTGTGAATGACAAACGCTGTCAAGGAGTTTGATGATCCTGATCAGATATCATACTGGATATACTACAGCACCTTGTCAGCAATATTTCCAAGGCATGGTAAGTCATACATTCATAGAAGACAGACCAGTGCTACCTTAGATCTCAGTACGGTGTCATGTGTACGTCGGGTAACTGCCGTAGTAAGGTCCATTCTGGAGGCAACTACCAAAGAAACCCACATTCATTGTCCGCTGCTTCCATCTGAACTCAACAGATGACTCAAACTAACTTCATAATCGATTCCAGAAGCAATTAGTAACAACGTTGAACCAGCAAGAAATGGAGCATCCGAATTGGTGTAGTGGTCAACATTCGAGATTCTCATCGGTTTACCTCCTGACTTCTCGAGCCCGGGGTTCGATTCCCCGATTCGGAGTACTTTTTGTATCTATTTTTGTATCAATAAGGGGCATATTTCTTTTTTATCTCTCTCTATCATAGGCTCAAAGTAGCGTCTTCACTCCATAACCTTAAGTTAAATTACATTTATTTTTTTGGTAGGTATTTAGAATCGTTTATGCTAGATAATACTTATTAGACGCAAATCTTGTACTTATACGAGAATGTCTCAACATGCCCAAACCTCGGAGCATCCCTCTCTAGCATCAGCACCAAAGTTTCTTTTCATTTATGGCACCCTATGCGCCATACCTCTCCTTGCATTAGTACTCACCGGCAACGCTCAGAATACTTCGATAGTGTCTAAACTGTTAACGTCGGAAAGGGTCTATGGCTACGCGCGTTTCTCATTACATAACCGGGACTATCCCGCAGCTGTTAAGGGCGATCCGCACTCCTATATTGATGGCTATCTCCTCCGCCTTAAGACTAACCCTGATCGCAAGAAGATTGACAACTATGAGGGAGAAGCATATAGGCCAACATCGGTTGCTGTAAAACTGATTGATGCTGCTGGAGAACCAAGGATGGAGACGGTGGAGGCTGATATCTACGTCTGGACCAGCCGCACAGCATTTGTGACAAGAGAACCATGGGAACTGGAGGTTTTTGTTAAGGAGCGACTGTGTGACTGGCTGGATATATTTGAAGGAATGGAATTTTGCGGGTGACTTATCTATCATCCTTCTAGGTTATAAATCTCGTAGTAATAACCAATATCTTAGGAACGATTCAGCCCTACGGAGTTACGGTAACGCTCGGAGATATATAAATATCGCATGGTGAAGTGCTGGAACCTACTTCTCGGTCTTAGGATATAACTAGAAGATTTTGATTAATAACAATACTGGGTATTTCTAAAATATCACCATTTGAATTAGACGACCCTGGCAATTTACGTCAATTTATGTAAGGGCGAGAGAGAAAGACGCGAAAGAGGCCGAGACCATGTGAGTGGGCTCTGAAGTCTATGGAGGTCTAGGTTCAGGGCTGTTTGTTTCCCCGCGTCGACGTTAAAGACCCCTACGAGCTGCAAGTCAGCAGTGCATTATGCACCTAGGGTAGTACAGCCGTAGCGCTGTGAGACGGAGTTAATGGGGGAGGCCAAAGCTGAAAATTAGTGGAGGTGGGGGTACACGAAATTGTCTCAATGGGTGTCAGCGGGCTGTCAGGAGGCTCGAAATAGTATCTTCTGTACAACCTCACTGTTTGCTACAATTACCTATGATATAATACAATAAAGAACACGTCTACTACATAATTGGTTGCTCATTATATGATGTCGTTTGGAATCAAATGATTGCTAAGCTCACGATCAATTTCCGCTAATGGATCCAACACCGTTTGCTTCATCTATATCTGCAAGTCCGCGTTGAGATGACCCGCACCCGAGTCCTTTCATAATACAACTGAAAATGACGAGGTCTCCCGATGGACTTATAACACTTTGTAAACATATTTTGATAATCAACTGACAATATAAGCAAGCGGAGTAACTGGAGGGTCCGGAGGCTTTATCTCTCGAGGCTAGCATCTACGATGGATTCATTCCACGCCGCTCAGTGCCCGTCTTACGGGCGACACGTCCTCGCTTGGTTAAGCGGATGGACATGCTTCCTAGTCAACCACAAGGTGCCATTTGTGTACGGACAAACGACTAACTTCCCGATTAGCGATGTGAGGCTCACATGGGGAGATACTCCGTCGCCGAGCCGAAAGCTGAAGCTAGCTGGGACGAGGACGGGAAGGTGGTAGGGATGTGGTATATTGAGTGCATCTGATTGGTTGAATCCTTACAGTATACTCCCACCAACAACCTGTAAACGACTATGCAAGGGGAACTGTTCGCGATACATAAGAGGAGGCTACGGTCTCTGAGATGTAGACAACTTAGAGAGGACTATTTACTCGTATATGTGTTCTTTGGGGACTTGCCATTTATTCTTCCAAGATGAAAGAAGTTCTCGTACCTAATATGGCCGAAACGGCGTATAAGCCAAAGGTTCTGATCGTCGGCGCTGGTCTTGGCGGCTTGACCCTTGCCCAAGTCTTCCGAAAACACAACATCCCATTCGAGATATTCGAGCGAGATGAGCACGAAGTAGCTAGAACTCAAGGGTGGTCTCTAACTATCCACAGGTAAGTATCTTGCCTCCTAGAACTCCCCCAATACGAGCTTTGAATCTAAGACGTCTTCCCAAACACGCAGTATAGTAGATGAACTTTTCAAAGCCTTCCCAGATGATATGCCCAACTTCAAAGATTCGGTTCACCATCTCAACCCACTCAACCTAGAGACACAGGTTGTTTTCTATTTCCACAATGATCGCCTCGGAACAGAAAACTCTCCTTCCACTCCAACTCTGCGAGCCAACCGTCTGCTGCTACGAAAGTGGCTAGCCACCAAGATTGATGTCCAATATGGCCGAGTCGCGAGCAAGATTGAGAGAATCAATAACCAAATGGTTGTCACCTTTAAAAATGGCACAATTGCAACAGGCGATATCGTTGTTGGCGCTGATGGAGCGAACAGCATGGGTAAGTTTTTTTATACCCCTACTTTCTCTGGTCATACAATATCTAACACGGACACAGTGAGAGAGCACGTTTTGGGCACGCCCAATAAGGAAGTACTCAGAAACACACCAATCAGTTCAATAACCGGAGAGGTCAAGTTAAGCGGCGAACTATTTGCACGCCAGCTAGAGATAGCCCACAGCATGGCCATCATCCCCGTCACGACCGGTGACGCTTGGAACAACCTCTTCATAGGTCTCACCAAAGTCGATCCAGATAGCCAGTCCGGCAGCTTCTTCTGGGTCATCTCATGGCACGACCCGGTGGCTCAACAGACCGGCCGCGTCAGCGCCAACGCCCTTCCCAGAGAAGAGCGCCTGGAGCTCGCCAAGAAGATGACCGCGCACATGGACCCCAAGTTCCGACGCATCCTCGAGGAGACGCCCGCGGACGGGATCCGGGATCTCGGATGGGTGCCGACGGACTGCCACCTCGACGCGATCCCGCTCGGAAGAGCGACGCTTCTCGGCGACGCCGTGCACCTGATGATGCCGTACAAGGCCGAGGGCGGCTATCACGCGATGCGCGACGCGCTGCACCTGGGCAAGCTGGTCGCCGAGCTCGAGACGCCGGACGATGCTGCGCTGTACCGCGCGCTCAGCTCGTTCTACGGCGAGATGCTGCCGCGTGGCGCCGAGGCGGTCGAGCTCTCCAGATACTTCCAGCAGAACTTTCGGAAGGATAAGACGGGCGTGAAGGCTTGGGGCCACCCTGTCAGGAGTCTTCCTGATGAGCGGCTGGAGATTGGTCCTCATGGTGTGCAGAGCGTTACGAAGGGAATATGCAAGTTGGACTTGGTCCCTAGTGTTTAGAAGATACCCTTATTTCCTTAACATGTTACGGAAGCATCTGTAAATTGTATGGTAGTGCCTGGTTTGGGCTTTCTGGAGGTCGCATGTGAACTGGATACGTATGTCCGAATATCATGTTGAAATTATTGCTAGTGCCATGTAACTAGGAGTCAATGCGAACCTTGACTGAAGTATTTGGTTTATTAGACCTGGGTGATGAGAGTAGCAAGTACATGTAGTTGTTCACGAGGAGGTAAGTCTACCAAGGAACCCCCTTTTAGCACACATCCCCTAACAACTAACATTACAAGTTTTTATAAGATTTCTAAATAAACATTAGACTATTACACAGGCCTAGGAGAGAAAGCTCGCATGTATGAGCGCTAGAATCATACAATTCCCAAATTAACTCCTTTGGAGCATCATAGCACGTTCTTTTCTTTCCGCTAATTAATGTTTAAGCTTCAGGCGTAGACTATCTGATATTCCTAAGCTGAACTAGTAATTTTATACTCAACACTACGAAATATTGCTCATGGCCATTATCAGCACGGCCACTTGGTATTCAAATCTATAAATACTGCGATTCCCGCTCCAGATCGCGTCTCCCATCCTTTCAAATCTCTCTGTCATTACATGTTTACTATCAAACGACCGAGATAAAAGACATTTTCAACTTATTATCTCGACAATCAAAATGCGCGTATCATCGTGGATGAAGCTGGCCTACGTGGCAACTCTAGCCACAGCCCTGCCAGCCACCTACAACCCAGACGTCGCCGAATCAGACAACCAGCACAACGCCAACACCACCATAACACCCATAGCCGGCGACGACACGCCCGACAAGGACAGCATAATGATCCCAGTGACGCAGATCTACTGCACGGGCCACGACATGGAGGCGCGGGACGTGAACCGGGCGCGGCGCAAGGTGGCGCGGTGGGCGAAGCACCACCCGCTGGTGACGAAGCGGGTGAAGATGGGGCTCGTCAACGACACCATCTGGTACGTGTGCAACTGCAAGTGGTGGACGGTCGAGTACCTGAAGTGGTACGAGCTCGTCCAGGCGCAGAACCTGATCTACGGCACCTGCGGCGAGCACCGCTCCGGCGGCCTCTGGAGCGACCCCTGGCAGAAGATGTACCACATCGAGCCCTACCACACCACCTTCAACATGTCCCACGTCTACGACCTCTGCCCCCACCGCTGCGTCGTCTCCCTCGAGGAGTGGGGCGAGCTGCCGCGGCCGAACGAGAAGGGCATCTGGCTTGGTCATGATGATGACGACGAGGATGACGATCGGGATTATTAAGGTTGGTGGTGCTTGGGTACGGGAGGATTGGATTTTGGTTTGGGCGCTGGATGATAGCTCGGATCTTTTTTTTTTACGTTGGGGACGGAAGTGTCTTGAGTCTGACCTATTAGGCGTAAATAAACTTATGCTTGTGCTTTGGGGGAACTCTTTAGATGAAGCAAGATATCAATTTTGAATTTTAGTAGATACAACATGTTAACTTTGATACTTACCGGTGATGCTTTACGCTCGGAGCTGACGATACAAGTACCTACTATAAGCAGGCCTTTAAGCTATCAACTTTAATGGTTG